CCCGACTTCCCGCAGGCATTACGATTAATTCGGGCCAGTTCCAGAGTCTTTGGGCGGCCCTTGGCGCCGGCGTGGAGTCGTCGTTCGAGATGTCCAAGGTGCCTGCGTCGACGCAGGAGGTGGAGGGCTTGCTGACGGCGAGAGGGGTGAACACGATGGCTTCCGGGAACAAGCCGGCGGCCATGAAGTTCTTCTTCTACGCGAAGGTATTTGATCGGGCCACCTTGGTGCTGCTTCAGCGGGGACCGTTTCCGACCGGAACGGCGTAGTGTCGTGTTGTTTTGGTTGTGGCGGCGGGGGTGTCTGCTGCTGTTGCTACAGAGTCAAATGCGATCGCGTTCGTCCTTGGTGCTACCATGAACAATGTTCGTTCCCCAGCGGCCGCGCTCCCTTCCCTCTGAATACAGTCTGTTGAGGCCGCGCTTCTCCATCCCAGTTCCATCGTCTTGCAGCGAGCTTATGAGTACAGCCGTGACTCTGGTGTTCACTCCAGATTGTGGGTAGCACCCTGAAAGAGGGCAACGTCCTGCGTTTGTGGCCTTCCCCTCTCGTGTGACTCCTACCGATGCTGCTTCTAGAAAGGATGCCGAAAGGTGTGAACACTGAAACTGAACTGACTTCCAAAAAAATCAAAGGGCCGACCGACGAGCGCACACGCTCTAGTTCTCACCGCCACGCACAGGCCACCAAAAGCGCCCGCACCCTTGCACCCGTGCGACGGAACCACGTTTGTACCGCAGGACGTGCTGGGTTTGACGTACCTGATGCAATGCTCAGTCCTCAAGCCGGAGAGGTTGCTCGAGCTGGTGGTCAAGAGCGACGCTCCCGATCCCGCGGAGAGCGCACGGGTCATCTCGGGAGTGGTGAAGGAGGCGTTTGCGTTGTACTTGCGATAGAATGGGCGGTCAAGGATGGGAGGGAAAGGGGGGGGGACTTGTCCCATTTCGCCACGCTCACGTTGGTTTAGTGACGTGTGTGGACGAGAGAGAGAGAGATTAACGTGTCGAAGCAGTCCACCGTTGGGCTGACCCATTTTCCGGGTTGGCAAGTAGTAGGGTATTGTTTCGTGAGGGCAACAACGGTCGAGAAATGATCGACTGGCATGCTCATCCAGGCTAGCTACCGTGAAGGGGAAAGCTGTGTGGGAGGAACACCGGCTGTGGAGACTCTTCCATCATTTTTTTTGCCTGGGGCGTCAACGACTGTTGGCATGTAGCGTGGTGGTTCGAGGAAATGACGCAGTTTTCGTTGGCGTTGGCTTCATTTAATTTTTTACATCAAACATTCCGCTTCGTCCCACACACACCCGCGTAACGACCAGCGGCACACACGCAGGCCTCCAACGCCGTACCAGCACGATGATTGCCGCTGCAGACGGTCTGCCGTGTCGATACGCCCCGGTGTCTTCCCGCACGTACACATTCCGTATCGAGGAATGAAGGGATGAGGGGCGAGGGAAGTCAACTACGGTGGCACACACACGCCTACGGTTTTAACTCTCTGCTTCGATCTCTCCTCGGGCACTTGACTCAACACCCCCCCTCTCCCAGGCTCTCAATACTCTGTCTTTGGGTTCAACAGCACGCGCCAAGCAAACCGGCGGTAGGGATATATCTCTCTCATGGCACCTTACCGAAGAGAAACCCAGGAGGAGGAACAGAGTGGACATTAAAAATAAAATTCAAAAATGCTTTGAAGTCAACACGATCCCAACTCGTTTCCTTGCGAAACCAACCGGGGTTTCCCAAGGAGGCGGCTAGCAGTCTTCAAATCAAATCCCACGTGCAACCATCCCAGCAATCGCACAAACTCAAGGTCGACTGATGCCTCTGCCCTCGCTGGTCTCGATATAGAGCAACTACCCAACAATTGAAAACAACAGGTCCGGAAGGTAGCCTCGACTATCTGTCGGCCCCTTCTGCCCACGCCTCGTTCGAAACCCTTTCATCTCTTGACCACAACGACCCAACCGCAAGAGGCTAAAAGACATGCATGGGCACGTGTGCTGTGGCGTGGATTCCTCGAACAGGCCGCCCCCCGAAACAAAATTCCACAAACGGACGGGACTGTTCTACTGCAATCTATTGTGTTACCTCTTCTGTCCTCCCACGAGGGCATGATCGTAGGGTACCGGGGGCAAATTGGCATACTTGGGGGTGGGGGGATGGGTGGTCGACTCTACTACTGCTGTGTAGCTCTTTGAGCAGTCCTGCAGCAGACCCATCACTTGAAGAACTGTATGAGGTCCTCGACTCTGAGCTTTTGGCTCTCGTTCGCGGACCCAGCGGCGAGGGCGTTCTTGGCCATTCTGCCCTTAACTTCCTGTTACCAATCGAATCAATCGCCGTCGGTAAGTCGGAGCACGGGGTTTGCACACCAGAAGGCGCGCGGGGGGGGGGGGGGTGGGAGTGTGGGTNAGCGTATGCCTTCCTTCTTACCAACACGTGCGTCCAGACACGGACTCGACAACATTCGATTGGTTCCTATATTGTCCCTCTCAGTCGGTATAATGCGGTCGGCGCTTGCTGAAGAAACCCAAACATGGGTACACGTGACGCAAGTATCAAGTCCACGCACCTGAAGCGCGAGCATTTTGTCCTCGACGGTTCCCGACACGACAAACCGCTTGACGCTGACTTCATTCAGCTGGCCCAGGCGGTGGATTCGGTCGATCGCTTGCTCTTCGACCGCCGGATTCCTGGTAACGTAACGCAAGAGGTTTGGCGGGAAGACGGCGACGGAATGCAACGGGGGGGGGGGGGGGGGGGGGGNGGGGGGGGGGGGGGGGGGGGGGGGGGGGGGGGGGGGGGGGGGGGGGGGGGGGGGGAGCACGCAACAGCAGCAGCTGGGAGAGAGGCGCGCTCAGGTCGTCGCTTGGCCCCCCAAAGTCTTCCAGGTTGCTGGAAACAAGGAGACCAACTTCGAAGGAGCACGGAGAGAAGGGAGCTGGAGATAGATGTTGTAGGAGGGAGAAGGGCTCTCGCCACACTATCTACGAAAGGCCTTATCTCGTGTCTAGGGTCCACGCAGCTGGTACGGTCTGCCACTCCAATGGCAGACACAAGCGTCCCCTTTCGCCCAGCCAGAGTTGCCCGACGTTATCTTGCGGCCATTCGCGTCTACTCTATGCCCCCCAGGGGGGGGGGGGGCTCACCACCAAGGGTCGAGGAGGATGACCGTCGATGCTGCCGTCAGGTTGAGGCCGACACCACCGGCCTTGAGCGAGACCAGCATCACGGTGACACTCTCGTCCGTCGCGAAGCCCTGCGTAGTGTAGTGCAAAAAACAACATCCGATTGTGTCATTGTTGGCGTGAAGCCGAGAGTTTCCCGATGCTGTGTGAAAAATGGGAGAGAGGGGTGGGTGGGGATGGGGAAGCGTGCAGGGGGAGACTCGAGAGAGAAACCCTCAGCGGACAATTCAAGTCGGGGTAGCATTCATACGCCAATGCGTTTTTCATCAACAGAGGTCCTTCAAACTTGATGTCGAGCATCTTCGAGAGCAGCGTAAAAACGCCTGCCTTGGCGAACGAGAAGGAGCGCCGGGAAGCGCACCCGGTACGCCGTAGACAAGGGCGTTCGCCAAACACGAAGTTGACGTTGCGGTGCTGCCAAAATTGTTCATGTATGTTCACCAGTCAAGATTGTAATGATTTGACACAACACACCACGATGCAGTATAATAACAGGGCAGTAAAACGCACGAAAAAACAAATGTCGGAAAAAACCTGGGCCTTCTTCGTTCAGCAAGGGCCAGGGACAGACGATCCGGCACCCAACAGCAAACAAAATAGGCAAGCTACAACGCACAAACAACGATGCAAATCGTGTGAAACATTGTGTTTTCTTCTCGAGAGAGATGTCTACCTTGAGAGCGGACTCCCGCTGTTGTTGGGACATGGCTCCGTCCAGCCTTCGGAACGTCCACCCTCCCCTGGCAATGCTAGCCTCGGCAAGATCCAACATGTGAGTCCACTGCCCGAAATGGTCAAAGAAGCGGCAGAATATGGCGGCAGAGATGTAGCCAAGGAGGGCAACATACAGGTTGGTCAGTGACAGAGAGAGAACGAGAGAGGGAGAGCATGACACAGACAGATAGACAGACAGACAGACAGACAGACAGAGGACCGAGGGGCAGGAAGGAGGCCAAAGGTTGAGCTTCACAGGACGAATCACCCGTCTAGCCACGCCATTCAGGTTCCAAGACAGACACGACTCGGGGAGACGTCGAGGGGCTAAACTACTGCACGTGTTTACACCCACCACAGTCGGGGGATCGATCGACAGGCGAACAGGAAAATTGCAACAACCAAACAGCTTCCCCACGCGTCCAAACAGGAGGGTGGGACACAAACAGCCTGACTGACCGCATATTTTTCTACCCATCCCAAAACGAAACAGGCACCATTTGCCTGAAAAGGCGACTACACTTGGTACCTGAGAGAACACGACGGCCTTAGCGCCGGGTGTCTTCTTTCGCATCTCTCGCAGCTCAAGCTCCAATCTTGCTAGCTTGGTGCTCCCAATCCATCCCCCGCCGCCGCCACCGCCGGTGCCGCGTGGTGCCGGCTTTGCCCGCGCTCCCGCTCCGCCGTTTCTGCCGCTGTTGCTGCTGCCTGTGGCCGCCGCTCCTTTCGAAGGAGTCGGAGGTGGGGGCTTGCGGGGGGCGGCTACGGCTTTTCCCGTCGGTTGAGAGGCGGACACTTCAATGATGTCTGCGGTCGTCATTGGCGACCGGCAAACCTTCGATGGGAGGGGGAGCGGGGGCGACGCACGACGGTAGTGATACCGGTTGAGGGAGTGGGGGGGTGGGGGGGCGTGGCGAATGGAAGGTGGTGAGATTCAGAGAGCAATGTACAAGCGCCACGCAGGTTCGTGATGGCGATATGACAACGAACGGTGGCTTGGGCGAAGGTTGGCACACTCGTGTCGGGCATCGCCCCCTCCTACGATATATCATCTCTCTCTCTCTCTGCAACTTGTGGCTTAGCCATGCAACACGTTCCTTTCAGTATGTTCTACCCCCTGCTAGCATATCTCTCTCTCTCTCTCTCTCTGTCTCGCTGTCTGTCTGTCTGTCTGTCTGTTTGTCTGTCTGGGTCTCTCTCTCTCTCTCTCTCTCTCTCTCTCTCTCTCTCTCTCT